ATTTTTACAGTGACATTATCACCTCTGCCATTTTTACAGTGACATTATCACCTCTGCCATTTTTACAGTGACATTATCACCTCTGCCATTTTTACAGTGACATTATCACCTCTACCATTTTTACAGTGACATTATTATCTCTACCATTTTTACAGTGACATTATTATCTCTACCATTTTTACAGTGACATTATTATCTCTACCATTTTTACAGTGACATTATTACCTCTACCATTACTAGATGTACTTGCACAGGGTCCCCGAAAGTGTTCTGTTTCAAGTGTAAATAATACCAAAATTAAGAGTAGCAAATATTTTTATTTCTTGCTTCTGAAGTTCATATGTCATGCTGTGTTGTAGCCTACAGTGTGTATAATGCTTCTCGTGATTCATGGCATGCGCATGTTTTACTGACGTCACGACAGTAGAATTTGCAATGTTAAGCAAGCCTTATGTAACGTTATTTTAATGTCTACTGACTGACTGACTGACAGACCACACACTACTCTATAGTGGTGCGAGTGGTTAAAACAGGTGACCCCTCCAGGCGGCCTTCGGCCCCTATTCCGGTAAGTTATTAGCTTTGCCATTTTACCCTGACATTATTAGTGTCATTTTTACTGACACATTATTACTTCCGCCATTTTACTAAGGCATTATTCTGTCATTTTTACTGCGACATTATTACCTCTGCCATTATTACTGCGCACACAGTTTATGATGAGTATTATATGGGGATTAAGTAAAAGATTCTTTCAAGGGATTGTTTCCCCCACACTTTTGTAAATAAATATTATATTACTTACAATGTAGGTGGCGTGAATGATAATCCCTGCTATCAAAAAGTTTACCCTTCGTGAAAATGCCACCTACATTCCAGGTCATTCACTGCTAAACGAAATAATCGTTAACATCCACGTAAAAAACGAGTTATGGTACTTTTTCCGTTTATACCCCGCAACTTTAATAACTTATATATATAAATAAACATTTTATTCATATAGTAAATGTCCATAATAAATTTCTAAAAATATATTAATGGGCATTATTTTCGTATATTAAAAACCTACTATTTGCGGGGGTATAAGGGAAAAATACCGAGTTATTTGTGTAATATTATTTAAAAAACAACAACTACCAGTTGCGTTGCTAACGTCTAAACCATACTACAGGAACAGAACCTGCATGAACTTGCCTCGAAATGCTTTCCCGTCAGGTGGCGCTGACTTCTTGCTTGGCTAGTTATTGTCCCTAGGTATCAGTCTCTCTTGTGCATGAAGTGAGTTGGGTCACGGACTATCCGCTAGGGGGGATGTTGAGCAGTACAGAGTGATATTCAGTTGGGAATACATTTAGTAGCGCTTTGTCGTGTGTTTCGGGAGTAATGCCATACGTCGTTGAGTTTTGTCTGTGCTTCGTGTAGTGTCGTTAGTGTAGCAACGCCGGTCTTTAGCCACAATTAAAAAAGAAACGAATATTATTGTGCCAGTTTTGTACGAGAATATCGGCGGACGAAAAGCGAGCATCGTATAGGGGCCGGCAGCATACAAAGTATTCGTTTTTCCATGTTTGTTTAGACGGCCCAACCAGTCGTGACGCGCGTCTAAATAGAACAAAGTACATCAGCAAAACTATGGGTAAGGTAGGTGGTTTTTGATTTCCCAGATCTTTCAAAATATTTTCTATAAACACCCATACTCCACGCAGTATAATATCAGTCAGTCAAGTCTTGGAATGTAATAGAGAGGCTCTGTTGATTTCCAACCTGTAATACTAATTGTACCAACAGTATAGTTTAATTTCTTATCGCGAATTTTGTTAGCTTGAATTTGTACGCAGTTCATAAAGCTTTTCCTAAACGTTGTAGCTAGTAATTCCTATTGTGTATATGGTGTAAATACAACTACTTAAACAGACTTTCAGTTTAAGACAATAGGAGCAGTGCGTCGTTTGTCAGACTTTTTTATTATTATTATTATTATTATTAAATAAATGTATTCATAAAACTTAACGCTCTAATTACTGACTTTTTTTTATACCGGTTGGATCCACAAATTGCATCCTATTGAATGATTTTATATTTTTTCTGCCACAACAGCCAATGTAAAGAACTCGACATAAAACGTGGATGAAATTGATCATAGGGGACGTCAGCAATAATGTTTGGTATTAATTACAATGTTGACCGTGAGAGTCTAACTAATAATATCATGGTTCCACGAAAAACTTGTGCGTGAATAATTCGATGACGAGGAACCCACTTTGAGACTAATAATGGCTGGAGGTACCTGATGATGACAAAACCTTGTCGAAACGTTGTACATTTGCAGTTATATTAAAGTTTTTCTTCATTACCCATTCAAGCCGTCTCCAGCCATTATTGTGCGTGAATAGTTTAGAAAAATGTGTATAAAACAAAACAACAAAAACAAGTAGGTTCCATATGGAACCCATCGGCTGTTCTTTCAGTTTTAGGGTTAATTACTAACTTATTCCTCTAACGTAAGCTTGAAGTGAATCTACCTAGAAATGTTGAAACATCGAAATAAAGGAAAAGTCCATAATCGCTTTCTTAGTGTTAACAGCCTTGTTGCAAGCCCAAGAAAAAGTCCAAGAAATCTAGGTCAGATCACAAGTGCTGCCGGAAGGCATCAGCCGCGTGGAAGTAAACCTGAAGAACAACTTGAGTTGCTAAGCCTGCTAGCATTGTTATTGTCGCTTTCGTCTAAGTACGTGTAATGTATCTGTTTCGAACTGGTTACGGTGTTCGACTTAGTCGTTTCAGCGCGTAACGCTAAGATGACCAACCATAGGTTGTAAGGAGAAGCTTTTCCAGGCAGCTTGATTGGTTCGTTGACCTCCCGAGTGCTTTATTTTGTTTAACTGACAAGAAACAGATATATCGTTTGTGAGTTATGGGAATTAATAGTACCTCCACAGAGTACATGTTTAAAAGGTACATTAGTTTAAAAAATAACAGAACGGACGAGAGTGGTACCGTGATATTTTCCTTATAGAAATATCCCTAAGAGGACCGCGTTGTGATTGCCTCTCATTCTAATTAAGCCTTCCAGTTCTATTAGAATCACGCAAATAATGTTTCTTTAAAATAGTATTAAAATATTCAAGTAATAATAGATGTTCAACTTATAGGTATCTAATGATACGACAGATTGTAGGTTATTTGATGTTTTTCTTTTTTGATATCAGATATAACATTCATTAGAGAATATCCATTGTTCCTTGTGAATGTAACTTAATAATATCAATGTCAAAAGTAGAAAAGATATGTAACATTAAAATATTATTTGTTGTATTTATACATCAATACTCAATTTTTTTAAATGAATAATACTGTTATTATTACTAGAGGCAATCATATTTATAATGCAGTCCTGTTAGGAATATTCCTCTAAGGGAAATTTTACGGTACCTTTCTAGTCCGAGCAAAAACAGATTCGTGCCAAGTTTCTCAGACTGCAATAAAAACCTGTTTTCATGACGCACTTATTAAAATGACTTACTCTTACTCGTTTGTTAGTTAACTAAAACCTGATGCGTACTGAAACTTGTAATTACTTTTTATATTATTATTGTCACTGTAAAATCTCATTAGGCTTAACAAATTATGAGGTCAGACACATCCTTTCAGGGTTTGGAAAGACTTATTAGGCTTAGCTAACTATGAGGTCAGACACATGCATCCTTTTAGGGTTTAGAAAGACTTATTAGGCTTAGCTATCTGTGAGGTCAGACACATCCTTTTACGAGTTTAGAAAGAAATGCAGAATGTATTCATTAAATAACATAGTTAGAAATGTTTCTGAAGTTTTTGTTCTATTTGTTGTTTTGCAAAAATTAAATAAATGCGATAAGTTTAATAAAGTATGAAATTTTGTTAAATTTGAAGACTAAAAACATAAAATAATGATCCTAGTACCAAAATACTTCATAATTTGACATGTTGGTTTCCTATAGTGACACATACCTTGTGTCACATAGTCGAGGGAGTTATGCATATAATTGTATTTCGCAATTTTCAATTTTGGTTATTTCTTGGAAGACAGATCATTTTTATTGCTTGCGTTGTCTTGGTTAACAGGTGTTTATACCCACAGCGCTCCATTCTCGTATCTGACTTGTAATATCTTTACGTGTTCGTAGTTCTCACTGTGTAGTTCGTGTGGAATGAACTACATTATGTCAGTTGGTGTAAACAGTGTTTTGTTGATACTTTAATTATACATGTCATCATGGTTACAGCTCAAATGAATGTTAATTACCCGTGAATATTACGTGATATGTTGACAAGGGTTTTATTGTTTAACTTGACATCGGGCTGTATTTTAGTGTTGACTACGGTGTTCAACATTACATTTTAATTGTAAACCCTTTGTCCCAACACTATAATATTCTGAGTTTTATTGTTCAACATTATATTATGATGAATTCTATTGTTAACCTCTGTTTTCAAAACAATGCCAAATAAAACTTACTACAAAGATCAGCTAAACATATTTTGGTGTTTAGTTAATGCACGAGTGGGAGGGGAGGTGTTAGTAGGGTGGCATCATGCAGCTTTGTGTGTATGTATAACCAAAAATAAGGTCACTAGGTCAACCCTACTGCTACTGTTACCCTTTTGAAGTCCTTCGTTTTATGTTTGGAATTTCCCAGCTTAAGGCCGTGACAATAAAAGTAACAGTGGCGACCTAAATTTCCCGTGAGGTTGATGGAATATGTATGAAAAACGCGAGTCCGCGTCATTGTTTGAATTTGTATTTCACGCGTGTTCAATTACCACCAGGTGTCTTGAAAAATTCCCAGCGCCCTCTTCAATAGTGTTGCCATTAAACTGGTACTACAATAACTTAATTACAGCTTTCCATTCTGAAACAATCAACCAAACGATTTGAAAACGCAGCTGGTTTTTACCTTTCTCGGAATATCTGAAAACGGATTTAACTTATTCTGACCGATTTAGCGTGGATTTTATGACATCTTTTATCCCAGTTCTCAGGGTGTTTGGATTACTGGCTAGATCCTACCACTCACGCTCTCATTGGGGTGATAATAGCCAATTTATTTTTACACTTTGTGTAAAAACTGTGTTTTCATCTGTATGCAGTGCCTATAAAAATTTAAAATCTCTAGAAACTATTTAAGCGTAGGATTTTTTTTTTATATAAATAGCCAACGAAACACATTAACTACTAATGATAAATAAATGAATAGATAGAAAAAACACGCACATCTGAATAAAATAAATAAAAATTAACACCCCTGTTTTGTCCGTTATTAAGCTACATATTGGGTTATCTGTGCTCAGCCCACTGAGAATATTGAAATTGAGTTTCAGTGTAAATAAACTCTCGGGATTTCAGCTGAGTACAGAGAGGGCCTCTGTTTTGTAACGGTATCTATTGTAAAAGTTCCTTTGTCTGTATACTCAGTACTCGGACATATGTTGTACCAGTTTAGTGACGTCATAACCATTGTTCAGGCACCTGCGAAATTAGTGAAAGGTCGATATTTCAAAGGAATATGAAACGGAAAAGCCGATAAAATATTTAATATGTAAAATAAAAATAGCGAGATATTGTTCGAATATGAAAATTTAAAAATAGGTGTCGTTATAATAACAAATATTTTGAAAAAAATATAAGATTACCTCCACCATAATGGTTTGTTTGTTTTTATTTTCGCCTAAAACTACTCGAGGGCTATTTGCGCTAGCCGTCCCTATTTCTAAACTGATAGACTACAGGGAAGACAGCTAAGTCAACCCCACCTACTGGTAACTCTTAGGCTACTCTTTACTAACGAGTAATGAGATTAAAGTCACATTATCACGTCCCCACGGCTGAAAAGGCGATCGTGTTCGGGGACGGGTTTCGATCCCACGACCCGCAGGTTGTGAATCGAGTACCTTAACCACCGTAATGGTGATTTGTATATGTATTTTATAAATGTGGTAACTAATCATTATAATATAGAACATTTTGTGTATGGTACGTTGTTATGGCTCTTATTCCAGTGAATGAAACGTGTTGACTGCCTATATCTGTTTACCATAAATAAATATTAGACTTCTGCTCGAAGTAAAACTTTTTTTTATATATGCTTACCAGCTCTATCTCTGTTAGCTTGCTCCTTCTGGTGGTTCAGCAGTAAAGCTGAAGGCTTATAATGTTAAAGATCTGGTTTCAATACCCACGGATTGCAGACCACAAACAACCCATTTTGTAGCTTTGTGTTTAACAGCAAACAAGCTGTTGGTTTGAGTAGCGCCATCTATCAGTATTTATGCTTTACGATATTTCACTTTTTTTAATTGCTGCATTTTTCATAGGCCTGGCAGGGCCAGATGGTTAGGGCGCTCGACTCGTAATCAGCGGGTCGTGGGTTCGAATCCCCGTCCATCAAACATGGATCCATCTAAAACTATTCACAAACGGAGAGAAAGCAACACGTAAATATCCAACACTGGAAATCAGTAATATAGTAGCGCACACAAACAAAGATAAAGCAGAGGCATTCAAAGAACAACTACAGAACACCTTTAAAACACATCACGAACCATACATGAATACTCACTTCTATAACAAAGTAAGTCAAATGTAGAAATCACTTTTCCCAATA